CATTTGTCAGTTCTAGTAGTTTTTGGTGGAGCGTTTCAGGTTTTCTATATATAGTATCATGTCATCTGCAAGTAGTAAAAGTTTTACTTCTTCCTTACCAGCTTGGATGACTTTTATTTCTTTTTGTTGTCTGACTGCTGTGGCTAGTACTTCCAGTGCTATGTTAAATAAAAGTGGTGAAAATAGACATCCTTGTTTTTTTCATGGTCTTATGGGGAAAGCTGTTTTTTTTCACCATTGAATATGATGTAAGCTGTGAGTTTTCATATATGGTCTTTATTATGCTGAGGTATGCTCCGTCTAAGCCTAATTTGTCAAGAGAGCCTTTTTTTTTTTATCATGAATAGTTGGTGTACTTTGTCAAATGCTTTTTCTGCACATATTGAGATAATCATTCGCTTTTATCCCTTGTCTTATTAATGTGATGTATCATTTTGATTGATTTGCAAATACTGAAGCCCTTTACATCTCTGGAATAAGTCCCACTTGATTGTGTTGAATGATTTTTTTTATGTGTCATTGGATTTGGTTTGCTAATATTTTGTTGAGGATATTTGCATGTCTGTTCATGAGAGATACTTGCCTGTAGTTGTCATTTTTTTGGTAATATCTTTATTTTGTTTTGGTGTCAAGGAATTGCTGGCCCGTTAGAATGAATTCGGAGTCTTTCCTTCCTCTTCTATTTTTTAGAATAGTTTGAGAATAATAGGTATTAAGTCTTCTTTAAATGTTTGGTAGCATTCACGTATTAAACTATCTGTTCCTGGACTTTCATTTTTGGGAGGTTTTTTTTTTATTACTGATTCAATTTGATTGCCAGTGATTGTTTAAATTTCTTATTTTTTCTTGGCTTACTTTTGGAAGGTTATGTGGTCCTAGGAATTTATCCATTTCTTCTAGGTTATCCAATTGTTGACATATGATTTTTTATTATCTCTTTTATTACTCTTTGTATTTCTGTGGTATCTGTTATTATTTCTCCTTTTTCATTTCTCATTTTACTTGAGTCCTCTCTCTTTCACTCTTTCTCTCTTTTTTTTAAGATAAGTCTGGCTAAAGGTTTATCAGTTTCATTGATATTTTCAAAGAACTAGCTCCTGGTTTTGTTAATGTATTTGATTGGGTTTGTTAGACATTATTTAATTTATTTGTACTATGATACTTATTCTTTCTTTTCTTCTACTGATTTTGTGTTTTGTTGGTTCTTGTTTTTCTAGCTCATTTTGGTGTGAAGTTAAATTGTTTATTTGAAATTTTTCTTGCTTCTTGTGGTAGAACTGTATTGCTATAAACTTTCCTCTCAGAACATCTTTTTATTCACCCAAAGATTTTGGACTGTTGTGGTTTCAATTTCATTTGTCCCCATGCATATTTTGATTTCCTCTTTGATTTCTTGGATGACTCATTCGCTGTTTAGTAGCATGTTATTTAACCTCCATGTATTGGTGTTCTTTACAGATTTTTTCTTGCAACGATTGGTAGTTTCATACCATTGTAGTTGGAAAAGATGCATTATATGATTTCAATCCTTCTCAATTTATTAAGATTTGTTTTGTGGCCAAACAAGTGCTCTTTTCTGGAGAATATTCCATGTGCACTTGAAAAGAATGTGTATTCCACTGTTCTGGGGTAGAATGTTCTGAATATATCTGTTAGATCCATCTGATCCATTGGATGTTGATATTTGGTCTGGAGGATCTATCTATTGATGTAAATGGGGTTTAAAGTCCCCTTCCATTATTGCTTTGCTATTGATTTCTTCCTTTATATCTGTTAATAGTTGCTTAAAATGTAAAATTTTAAGTTGAACACTAAGTTATCAACAAAGAGTCACTGTGCCTGAAGTTTGGTCTCTCCTACTTCTCATAATATAAATGCCCTGGGAAATATGCAAACAACCCCAGACCTCTATAGACAGTTTGAAAGCCACTGTGCTAGAATTTAAATTTCTAATAGGTTTCATAGACCAGTGGTTTAAAAGGACAGGCTCTAAAGCCAGATGATCTAGGTTCTAATTCTAGCTATGGAATTTACTAGTCTGATGAACTTGGTAACATCATTTGACTTTCTCTGCTTCATTTCCTTTAGCTCTAAAATGAGGATGATAATATCAAAATCATAAAGTTGTAAGAATTAAATGAGATATTATAGGGGTTCTTAACTATTTATTGCTATGGACCACTTTGGTGCAATTGAAAATAACATTTTTTTCCAATCCATAAAATAAAATATATTAAATCATAAAAGAAACCAACCAGGCAGCCCTTGTGGCTCAGTGGTTTAGCGCCGCCTTCAGCCCAGGGTGTGATCCTAGAGACCGGGGATTGAGTCCCATGTCAAGCTCCCTGGGTGGAGCCTACTTCTCCCTGTGTCTGTGCCTCTCTCTCTCTCTTTCTCTCTCTGTGTCTCTCATGAATAAATAAATAAAATCCTTAAAAAAAAAAGAAACCAACCAATCATTTTGAAATAGAGTTATTAAATTATTATATATATTTTAAAAATATTATTTATTTATTCATGAGAAACACACTGAGAGAAGCATAAGTAGAGAGAGAAGAAGACTCCTTGAAGGGAGCCTGATGCAGGACTTGATCCCCAGACCCTGGGATCATGCCCTGAGTTGAAGGCAGATGCTCAACCACTGAGCCACCCAGGAGTCCCAGAGTTATTAAATTATTAAAGATCATGTGATACAGTAGTATACATGATTCTTTACACATTAACAAGATCTGATGCTGAGTCTAATAACTCATAATTTCAATGTAGTGATGAGCATAAACAACTATTTCAAATTATATTTTGTAAGTGTAATGTGTGATGAAAATATTTGTGTTTTCTTTTGAAAGAAACACTAAATTTCTATTGAAAGGAGTGGTAAATTTCAGTTAAAGGTTATTGAAAATAAATATGTAATTTTTCTTATTTAAATTTCTGAATTCCTGAATTTTACTGGACTCCAAATTGAGAACCCTTGTAGTAGAGGGTTTTGCCATAGTATTTTACAGATTAGGTGTTTAAAGCCTACTTGTTACAGTTATTACCATCATCATCACCACTGTCATTATTACAGAAGGGAGAAATATATATTTGGAATTCTTAATTTAGCAATAATGTTTTAAGGTTCTTAGGAGATACTAAAAAAAGTTGAATATTTGCTAACAATATGGACTAAAATATGACAGTATCAACTTTTTTTAAAAATTGAAATTCAAATTAGCTAACATATGGTATAGTATTGGTTTCAAAAGTATAATATAGTGCTTCACCCCTTACATATAACACCCAGTGCTCATCCCAACAAGTGCCTTCCCTAATACCAATCATTCATTTAGTTCATCCACCCACCCTCCTCCCCTCCAGCAACCCTCGGTTTGTTCTTTTAACTACAGAATCTCTTATGGTTTGCCTCCCTCTCTGTTTTCTTTTTTCTTAGTAGAAACTCTATACAAGGATATTTTCTTAAAATCAAAATACCAAAATTTATAAATATGAACAATAAGATGACCTGCTATGTCTAAAGTGTTTTTCACTTTTGTTTTTCAGGGTTTTTTCCTTTTCAATGATAATCCTAATATGTTGTTAGGATATCCCATCTCATCAGTAATCTCCACATTTTGTCACACTAAATAGATAAATAATTTAGCTTTAAAAACCACTAGAAAATCTAAATATATAAATCTATTCAGAAGTCTCTTGAGAGACTGGCCCAAGAACAAGAACAATATTACTTGACTTTGCACAGGTTAGATTAGTTTTGCCTAATACATCTTAGTCTGGCTTAATTCAATCAACATTATCTTTCTGAGTTGCATCCATACTAAATTCATGTAGTTGAAGTTATTAGTTGCTGAATTGCATTCCATTGTGTGAATATATCACAATTTGTCCATTTTTCTTTATGGGCCATTAAGATATTTTCCAGTTTGTGGCCATTAAGAATGAATGTAACAGTTCTGGGTCTTAGTTGAACATGTGAATGATTACTGTTTGGCATTTACCCCTGAGTAGGATTATTGGGTCTAATTGTATAAGCTACCACATAAGATGGAATAATCAAATCAGACCCACATGAATCACAGAGATCTTATCTTAGCAAACTTTATTAAATAATTTCAATTTGAAGACAATTGAAAATTTCAGGAAGAGCAGAGAGAGGTTTAGGATATCAAAGGTAGTTTCCCAGGACCTGTCTTTTTCTGTCCAACATGTGGCTCAGAATAATAGATAAGATCTCTGTGTTACATCTGCAAAGTCACTTCATACAGCAGGAGCATTTAAATTGTGAAGCCAGAGAGCTGTGTACCTTAGGTGAAATCCTCTAGAGGGCCATCTCTCATATACCCTTGGTTCTTTTTCTATAGATAATCCTTAACCAGGACATCCTGACAAGGGTATTTCAGAGATAAGGTCACTTCTTCCTAGCAAATATCATTAGTCTATTTATCCACAAGTCCATTTATGAAGAAGATTAGACTGGATGACCCCAAGAGCCTTTCTCTCAAAGATTTTTCCTTGGTGTAGCGATTAGATCAAACCCAGTTGTTTTAACTCCTTCCTCTCAGCATAAGCAGCTTTAACAGATACTGCCAGCTTTACAAAGTGGTTGTATTCATTAATCTTCTAACAGTAGTATATGAGCATTCTCATTGCTCTATATCTTCACTAACACACTTCCCATTGTTTTTCATTTGTTTGCCGTTTCACATATATGGCAAGAGTGTAGTGAAATTTCTTTGTGGTTTTCATTTGCATTTCTCTGATGACTGGTAAAGCTGAAGTTTTCTTCATTGGCTTTTTGGATTTCCTCTTTTGGAAAGTGTTTGTTCAGCAATTTTTGCCCATTTTTGTAATGGATTTGTGTGCTCTTTTCCTATTGACCTCCAGGGGCTCTTTATATATTCAACATATTTTTTTTAAGACACGCATCACCATACACAGTTACAGAATTTAATTTTTTCTTGTGATGAGAACTTTTAAGATTTACTTTCTTAGCAATGTTCAAAAATATGAAATGCTTTATGACGTTGTGTGTCATCCTTGTACAGGGGTCTTGCTAATCCTCTCTGTATCTTTCTGATTTCAGTGTATATGGGCCAAAATGAGCATGAGAATACATTTTTTAAAGATAAACTGTTATGAATACTTTTTCCCACTTCATGTTCTGCCTTTATTTTCTTATTAGTAATTTTTTTGATGAGTAGCAGTTCTTAATTTTATTATCCAGTTTCCCATGTCTTTTTGAAATCTAAAGTGACGTACTAATGACCTTCTAAATTTCTTCATCCATTAGTCCTAATTTGGGAAATAAGGGATTCTGGAAAGCCATCTAAAAGATGATGCCTTAGAGGGAAGGAAGAGAATAACCATAAATGATTTAATGCCGCTTTGGTCATTTTGCATAACCACATAATTTACATTGTCATACCTTATGTTCTGATTGGTTGGCCCTGTTGCATTCTGACTATTTTGGCATTAGAAGATCTGAGAACTTGTGGCTTTTTTGGCTCAGTAGTATCTATTTGCTACTTTAGGTTCAAAATATGTTGCCTAATCCCTACTTTCCACATCAGATAAACAGAATTTATGTGTGTATTCTCTACCCAGTAGTAGAACCAAGTACATTCCATATCTCCTTTGTTTTCTAGATAAAAATATATATTTTTTAATTTTCAGAGAAAAATGGGCTTCATCACCAAGGTTCTTCTTCAGCCCCTTCTTAATGGTTCACTTGTTTGAATACAGCAATTGTAAGAAATTTGTCTATAGTTCTTACTCCTAAATATGTAACTGTGTTTTGGTATTGTCAGGTTTTGGATTTTAGCAATTTTGATAAGTACATAGTGATATATTCATTGTTGTTGTTTTAATTTGCAATTCTCTGATAACAAGGGATGTTATGCATATTTTCAAATGCCGACTTGTCATCTTTATATTCCCTGTGGTGAGGTGTCCAGATCTTTTGCCCATTTTCTCCTTGGTTACTTATATTATTACTATTATTAAGTTTTGAGTTATTTGTATATTTTTAATATAAGTCTTTTATCAGAGAGTGTTTTGCCTATATTATTACCCAATCTGGGCCTGTCTTCATTCTCTTAGTAGTATCTTTCACACACCAGAAGTTTTTAATCTTAATAAAGTCCAACATTTTTCTTCATGGATGTATTTTTGTATTGCATCTGAAAATTCTTTGCCATGCCCAAGAACACCTAAAATTCCTCCTGTGTTTTCTTCTAGATGTCTTATGGTTTTGCACTTTACATTTAGATCTATGATCCCTTGTGATTTGATTTTTGGAAATGGTAGAAAGACTGTGTTTAGATTTTTCTTTTTTTCAATGTAAGTGTCCAGTAGTTCCAGCACTACTTGTTGAAAAAACTCTCCCTTCTCTATTGAATTGCCTTTATTTTCTGTCAAAGATCCTTTGACTGTATCTGTGTGGGTCTGTTTCTGAGTTTTCTATTCTTTTCCATTGATCTATATGCCTATTCTTTTGCCAATACCATACTGTTCTGATTACCGTAGATTAGTAAATTTTGAAGTTAGTGTCAATCTTTAAACTTTATTCTTCTCTTTTAGTTATTTTTTTATTACTCCAGGTCTTTTGTCTTTCCATATAAACTTTAGAATCAGTTTGCTGATATCCATAATATAGCTAGCTGGGATAATGATTTGCTCTGAATCTATAGGCCAAATTGGGAACAAATGACATCCTAACCTTATTGAGTTTTCTGGTCTATGGACTTTCCATTTGTTTAGATTTATTTTTAAAGTTTTTTAAATCAAAATTTTGTAGTTTACACAAATATACAAACTCTGCACATTTTGTTAGATGTATTCTTTTGTACTTCATTTTTTTTGGTGCTATTGTAAATGGTATTGTATTTTTTTCACTTCAAATTCCAATTTTTCAATTCTGGTATGTAGGAAAGCAATCAACTTTCACATATAAACCTCATATCCTGTAACCTTATTGTAATTGTATATTAGTTTCAAGAGTTTTGTTATATATATACATGTCTTACTGTCCTTGCTAAGACTTTCAGTACAACATTGAATAGGTGTGGTGAAAAGGAACATTCTTACCTTCTCCCCATTATTAAGGAGACTCACTAGTTTATTAGCATAAGTATGATGTTACCTGCAGGGTTTTGTAGATGTTCTTATTCAAGCTGAAGAAGTTTCCCTCTATTCTAGGTTGCTGAAAGATTTGTTTTTTTTTTTAATTGTGAATAGATGTTGGATTTTATCAAATGCATTTTTTTGCATCAGTTGATAATGTCATAGGCTTTTTTCTTCTTTAGTCTGTTGATGTGGTGGATTACATTGATTGATTTTCAAATATTAAATCAGTCATGCCTGCCTGGTGTAAATATCACTTGGTCTATGTTGTATAATGATTTTTATACATTGTTGAATTTAATTTGCTAATATTTTGTTGAAAATTTTTGCATCTGTGTTCATGCATGGCCTTGTGGAATGAATTAGAAAGTATACCCTCTGCTTCTGTTTTCTGGAAAAGACTATGGAGGACTAGTATAATTTCTTCCCTAAATGTTTGGTAAAATACATCAGTAAAATCATATGGGCCTGGTATTTTGATTTCATTTCCTTAATAGATATAGAACTACTGAAGTTTTCTCTTTCTCCTTTTATCATGTCTCGTAGTTTGTATCTTTCCAGGAATTGATCCATTTCATTTAGTTATCAAGTTTGGGGGCATAGAGTTATTCATAAATTTTTTATTATCCTTTTACTATCCACAGGATCAGTAGAGATGAGCCTTCTTTTATTTATTTTAATGTTATATTTTCTCTCTTTTTTTCTTGGCTAGCCTGTAGGTTTATAAATTTTATTGAGCTTTTCAAAGAACCAGTTTTTAGTTTTGTTAGCTTTTTATATTGATTTCCTGATTTTAATTTTACTAATTTCTGCTCTCATTTTAATTATTTTTTTCCTCTGCCTGTTTTTGGCTTATATTTCTCCTCTTTCTCTCACACATACACTCACTCACTCACCACTCACTCATTCATTTAAATTTCCTAAAGAGGAAATTTAGATTATCAATTTTCAGATCTTCTTTTCTAAGCAATTAATAGCAATTTAATACTATAAATTTCCCTCTAAGCACTGCTTTTGTTGCATTTCACAAATTTTAACATTTTATTTTTATTGTCACTTAACTTCAAATATTTAAAAATTTCTCTTAAGACTTTTTCTTTGGTCATGTATTATTTATATGCTACTTAATGTCTAAACATTTTTGGATTTCAAGCCATCTTGCTATTATTGATTTCCAGTTTAATTCCATTGAGATCTAGAGCATACTTTGTATGATTTCTATTTTTAAAATAAATTCTTATGATACGTTTATGGCCCAGAATGTTGTCTATCTTGGTCCATACTCTATGCCAGCTTGAGGAGAATATGTGTATTTTTCTGTTGTTGAATGGAGTATTCAGTAAATATCAATTAAATCTATAGATTAAAAGTGCTGTTCAGTCAACTTTCCAATAAAAATATTTCACTCTATGGGATCCCTGGGTGGTGCAGCGGTTTGGCGCCTGCCTTTGGCCCAGGGCGCGATCCTGGAGACCCGGGATCGAATCCCATGTCAGGCTCCAGGTGCATGGAGCCTGCTTCTCCCTCTCCCTATATCTCTGCCTCTCTCTCTCTCTCTCTCTCTCTCTGTGACTATCATAAATAAATTTAAAAAAATTATAAAAAAATATTTCACTCTAAATTGGCACACATACCTTATAGCAAAGTATTTTCAATTTCTCCCTCTCATTCTTTATAACGTTGAGGTCCTTCAATTCACTTATCCATATGTTATCATCACCCAGTTGTATTAATTTGAAGACTTATCTATTATATCTAATAATAATAAGAAAAATTAAAAATCTAAATTTTGTTTTTACTTTCTTTGATGCCTGTCTCCTCCTCCTCCTCCTCCTTCTTCTTCTCCTCCTTCTTCTTCTTCTTTCTTCTTCTTCTTCTTCTTCTTCTTCTTCTTCTTCTTCTTCTTCTTCTTTCTTCTTCTTCTTCTTCCTCTTCCTCTTCTTCTTCTTCTACCATAGATCCAAGTTTCTGACCTATATATTGTTTTCTCCTCCAGGAAGAATCTCTAACATTTCTTATAGATAGCTTTAAGATTTTACTTCTCTTTCATTTTTGAAGGATAAATTCACTAGTATAGAATTTGAAGTTAATGGCCTTTTTTTTCTTTCAACAATGTAAATATTTCTTTCTACACTTCTCTGTTTGCATATTTTCAAGTAAGAAGTTCAATGGAATTGATATCCTTGTTTCTTTATAGGTAAGATGTCCTCTCACCACTACTGACTTATTTCAAGATTTTCTTTTTGTCTTTCATTTTCTACAGTTTGAATATGATATATTTAGGTTTATTTTATTTTTTTGTTATATTGCTTGCTTATTTTATATTTGCTTTATTTTATTTTATTTTATTTTTTATTTTTTTTTTTACAATAGTCATACAGAGAGAGAGAGGCAGAGACACAGGCAGAGGGAGAAGCAGGCTCCATGCACTGGGAGCCTGACGTGGGATTCCATCCCGGGTCTCCAGGATCACGCCCTGGGCCAAAGGCAGGCGCCAAACCGCTGCGCCACCCAGGGATCCCGCTTTATTTTATTTTATTGGAGCTTTTTGGACCTGTAGTTTGGTATTTACCATTAATTTTGGAAAATTCTTAACTATTAAAACTTTAAATATTCCCTTTTCCTTATTTATTTTTTAAGATTTTGAAATCTTGCATGCATAAACAGGGGGAGAAGGAGAAGCTGGGTCCTGGCTAAGTAGGGAGCCTGACATGGGTGGGGCTTGATCCTGGGATCATGGCCTAAGCTACCCAGGTGGCCCTGTCTTTGCCTTTTGAAATTTCAACTAAGTGTATTTTACACCTTTTGAAATTATTCCACAATTCTTGGATATTCTATTCTTTTTTTGTTTTTCCTGATTCTTTTTTATCTTTGCATTTCAGTTTTGGAAGCTTTTATTGACATATTTTCAAGTTCATAGACTCTTTCCTTTTTCATGTCCAATGTACTAATGAGCACACCAGAGGATTATGCAGTTCTGTTAC